ACATGAAGTATATGTATTTGAGTACATTCTATGTTATAGTATGCTTTGCTATGTCATATTGCATACACCTTAATAAGTCAAGAGGAACTTATAAGAATAATATCAGTTGAGTGCCGTATTAGCCTCCACAAGGGAGGTAACTCCAGCTCCACAAGGGAGAAAAAGAAAATAACAATAATGTCCTCCGACTCAAGGGAGGCATTCAAGTTATAATCACGGTGTCGTGGGGGACCTTGCAAACCCTCACGTTCCGATGATTGCGCGCAAGTGGTACGTGAGCACTCGGGCCCATCAGTAAGAAAGATAAGGTAAGATAATAAAATTATGATAAGACATCATAATTAAGCATAATCAGCTCATGTATATTTATTCATGTGTACTTACAGTTATTTTGTGAGATATAGTTCCTACTTGCTGAGCGAAAGCTCAATCAGATATGTTCATGCTGTAGGTAAGAAACCTATCAGTAATTCTTGAAGGGCAATGGTGAGCGGCAGACGAATGGTGGAGATGGGAATGGATACCGCTCACGCAGTTATTTTCCGCAGTAAGTTTAAGAAAAATCATGTATATGTCTATATGATTCATTCAAAGGTTTCAAGTATGTAAGTTTAAAAAGTATACGTACATATGTATGTTAAGAAAACCAAGGTTGTAGCTAACAACCCTAGTTTTGAGTATTTAAGTTTTAGAACGTTGCAACAGTACATGCAACAAATAAATGAATTTTAAACATGACGATTTAAATGAGTAATTTTAGAAGGACTTTAAGATGTACTTGAATTTAAGATTTCTCACGAAATCCGTTTTAAAGTCAAATGAGATGGCCGATTGAAATGTCTAGTTTTAGAAATGCTTTTAAAGAGTATTTGAAACAAGAGTTCAAATGCTATTCCGTTTGAAGGATGTTCCTAAAAGGTTTTATCTTAACTAAAATTAAGAAAAGCTTTAAGAAATTTAGCGATTCACTTATTTGAAATTATTATTACAAATTAGGAAAGTATTCCTTCTCATATAAAAAAAAAAATGTTCTGCATATTTTAAGAAACCCCAGTAAGTACAAGTTAAAGTTTAAGTTACAGTGACGGCCTCATAGGAGGGTCGTTACATCCCCTTCCGAAGCTCAAATTTCCACACCTAATTCCATCTAATGTGTGAATTTTTTTTAATCTATTTTCAAAGCTCAAATTTCCAAGTCTTTCTTTTTCGTGCATAAAAAAAAAGAAAAAAACCTTTCAAGCATTTAAATCAATTGTGAGAGAGGGAGCCCACTTGTTATTTATTTTTGTTTTTAAATCAATTTCATAGACTTTGTTGCTTAAGATAATCTTATGATAACTGCTCAAAATTTTATATGATTAAACTTTGTTTTGAAAAAATAAATTTTCAAGTAAAAAACAAGCTTTATTGTGAGAGAGGGAGCCCACTTGTTATTTGTCTTTATTTTTAAATCAATTTTGTAGACTTTATTGCTTAAGACAATCTCATGGTAGTTGCTAAAAATTTTATATGATTAAAACCAACTGTTCTGAAAAATCAATTTTATATGATTAAAAATGTGTCCCCTTCCGAAGCTGAAATTTCCACACCTAATTCCATCTAATGTGTGAATTTTTTTTTAATCTTTTTTCAAAGCTCAAATTTCCAAGTCATTCTTTTTCGTCCATAAAAAAAAAGAAAAAAACCTTTCAAGCATTTAATTATGAGATAAGTGTGATCCTGGTCTCAATGCATGCATGCTCCAATCCTCATAATTGTCCAGAAATTACAGTTCTACCGAATAGGTGCAAATCATATATCCCAAATGTGATTATGTGGTTTGAACGAAAATTGGAAAGGGGGATGAAAATATTAAAATGTCATTCTTATAACAAATCCAAAATAGTGAAAATTAAATTAAAATGTCATTCTTATAACAAATCCAAAATAGTGAAAATTAAATTTAAAATAAACACAACAACTCCCAGAAATACCATATTATTGAATTCTTCTATATAATCTCACACGTGAGGAGCACTTAGGCACTAGAAGAAATCTACACTTTGCAAGCAGGGGAGCAGAGGAATAAAGGCTGCATTTAAAAAGCGCTTATGAAGGCTATAGAGATGTAGGAAATTAGCATAGTTTCCCTAAGAAACTCTCTATAAAATTAAAGCCCTTTATTATAGAGACTAGACTTACCACCAAGATTAGTGAGAAAAGCTTCAAGTTTGTAATTTGCTTCCAAGATTAGTGAAGAATTCATCGCAAATAAAGTGAGAAGCTTCAACGTTTGTGTGGTTGGGTGCTAAATGGAATTCCTCCTTGTGTTTCAGACGTTCACAGTGATTTTAGGAAAGTCAAAATTTTGACACACTTACCTCGTTGAGTTCACTCATTCGAGTTTTCAATTCGAGTTGAGATGTGACTTAATGTGAAAGTTTTTAACTGTAATAAAAAAAGTTAGGTATGACTTTTTCTAATAACTTTTAACTAGAGCAAAATTGAAATTGAAAACTGGAACCGGTGAAATGAATGAGGCCTTAAAATGACATCAATCATGGAGACTTGAAAGTTGTGTATAGAGACACTTTCTGCGGTTGATCATCTTCTCACAATCGTGACCACTTTCCTACTATTAGAGAACCGATGCTTAATATTAGCCTCCTTAGCTTTTATTTCATCGTCTCATGTAGACTCGGCATTGGCACTTATAGCTGCTAGGAATATTCTGAACAATTTATCATACGAGTGGGAATCCAGCTCATGTGAGCTTTAGATGGCCCATTTTTTAAAATCCATTAGCTCATTCTAAGGCATGATCCGGTGACGCCGCGGTGCTTGTAAACATCTCCAATGTGATCCTTTTAGCTCTTTTTGTCTCCATTTGACCCGAAATCCATCCCAAATCCTTTTTCCTATCTAAACTACAAAATAAATATAAAAAATACCGTAAAAACTCAAAAACCAACAAAAAAATTAGGGTTAAGAACACCTAACTCGCAAGTATAAAACTCAGTACTCATCACTAGGGGACCAAGCTAAACATCAGCCGCCTTTGCTTTTATTTCATCGTCTAATGTAGACTCGGAGTTGGTGCTTATAGCTGCTAGGAATTTTCTGAACAACTTATCATACCAGTGGGAATCTAGCTCATGTCAGCTTTAGATGGCCCATTCAAGTTAATATCCATTAATTTGATTCTGTTAAAGTCCTTTATATAGCTTCTGGAATTGGACTTTGGATAGTTATTTGTAATCTTCCATCTGTAAATTAATTGTTATTGTGTGATTCTCGATCGAGCATTTTTTTTTTCTCCTGTTGCAGCGTTATTTTGTAATTGTTAAATTTGTGATATATATTTTAATTGCATCACTTCAAGTTATATCATTTTCTAGTTTATTTCTGAATCTCGGGCTTAATTTGGCTTATCTGTTGTCATAATTTGATATGATACAGCCTAGATGTAGCATTTTAGTGATTTTGGGAGCTCTATGATTAGTTGGGTAATTTTGACAAATACCCTTTAAAATGGTACCATTAAGGATTTTTAGATATCAACATTGACCTATTGAATTTTGTCCATTTAGAGTAAGTAATTTGACAGATTATTATCTAGTGGCGGGTCTCCGGTCGCGGGCGGCGAGTCTCCAATCGTTGGCAGCGGGCGTAATTTGATAGATTACTACCTATAATTTGATAGATTCTTATTAAAAGGGTAATCTATCACAATAAAAAGATAGAAGATATAACTGCTTATTTTAGGGTTAGTTTTTACAATTTTCTCTAATTTAGTTTGGTTTAATAGCAGTGATTGCAAACCAAACTAATGGTACAATGCTTTCAATTCGTTTTTTTATCCACCTAATTTTCCATTAAAAAATTATACACGTACGCATAATGATTAGTCCACTTTACCCCCTGCGGAATCCAAATTGAGCCTTAATTACAAGGTAATATCAATCGACTTTATTTTCATTTAACTAGCACCAAGCTTTTAGTTGTATACGCATTAAATCCTCAAGAGTAATCTGTTTGACTGATTCGAGAAACAGCCACAATACCATTCGAGAAAATGTTTCTTCAGCCACCAAATGGCTTCCCGGATTCATCAATCAAGCTTCATCCGCACGAAATGCCATACTTTGTAAGCGTAAACTCTCAACCATTTGGCAATGATATGACGCTTCGTGACTGACTTCACATAAGCACAATAGAATGCGACACTTTTGTGTCCAAAGGGTTTAGAGAAATGGAAGGGCCGTTTGCCGACTTCCTAGAAAGAAATTTCGGGAAGCCAGTACTCCTTGCAGGTCCGGTTATACCGGAGCCTCCCATGAGTAGTTTTAGCTTAGAAGAGAAATGGGATAAATTCCTAGGCCAGTTTAAGGCTGGCTCGGTTATTTACTGTGCCTTTGGAAGTGAGAACATCTTGAAGAAAGGACAATTCCAAGAGTTGCTTTTGGGTTTTGAGCTTTCCGGGTTGCCCTTTTTTGCAGTGCTGAAACCGCCTTTTGGGACCGAGACTGTTGAAGAAGCATTGCCAGATGGGTTTGCAGGCAGAGTTGTAGGAAGAGGTGTGGTTCATAGTGGGTGGATTCAGCAACAGCTGATATTGGAGCATCCATCTGTTGGGTGTTATGTCACACGTTGTGGTAGCGGTTCTTTACGCGAGAAAGTGTGTAAAGCAATCAAGACAGTGATGGAAGAAAATTATAGTGAATCTTCATATGTTGATGATCTCAGTCAGAAGCTTCAAGTTTTAGTCAATTGAATAGAAGAAAAGCTTCATTGATGCAGAGGCATGAAGTCGGCTGTTGTCGTTTGTCGTCTCACAGCCTTCATCTTCAGTTGTTCGGTTTCATTGTCGTTTTGTTTTCTGTCGTTTTGAGTTGTAATAAGCTTTGTGAAAAAACCCTTGTCGTTTGGTGTATGTACTGGTCATTAGACCTTGTTTTGCTGTCGTTTACCCTACTTGGGCTGTTGTTTGTCGTTGCCAGCTGCTGCCTCCTGTTAGGAGTATTTATTTCCAAATTCTCGCAAGGGAGTGGCAGCTTCGATTATTGTTGAATGAAATTGAGCTTTTTCTCGATATCCCAGCTCGCACTCTGGTTATTGACGAGTTCTCTAGCCATTACCTCTCGGTTTCTAACCCTCGCAGGTGATTTCGACGGCTCCTACGCCATTCATATATATATATGACTTATATATTTATATATGTTGGCTTTGATTTATAAGCTTCTTTTCTTAATAAACATTCAAAGTTTACTCCTTCCTAGTTCTCACCCGGTGCTGGTGCATATATATGGTTTCTATCACTTCGAAATAAAGTTATTTCACATATCATGTACGTCATTATATATACAAATTTCGTACCTCAAACTTTAATCACAGTGAGTTGCAATTTTATTATATGCTACTACTATTTTCACATGGTGGTCTCAAAGGCAACTATTCCGTCGTTTCCTTGTGCGTTCTTCAAGAATGTACATGTAATTTTTAACAAGTTAAAACGTTGATTGGTTGCAAACCAAGCAATGATTCACTGCATTCATAGTATTGTTTTATACAACATGAAAATTTCAGATATCGTCCCCAATTGGTTTTGGAATCTATCAAGTTATTTTCAGTACATTAACTTATGTGGTAATCAACTATCCGGAAAACTCCCAGTTGTGCTCCCCATTGCTTGTTTCTCAATAATATACTTGTGTTCCAACTGTTAAAGGTAAAATACCCGAGTCCCACATCGTCTAAACATAAACATAATCACAATCATATAAGAATATTGTGCTACCATACTTAAACAGATTAACCTTTAAGATGGAAGCCTAATACCGCAATTCTTCTCTCTCATTTCTCTCCTTAAAAACTCTAATACCAACAAGTTCAATGGTACAATACCTCATAACTCATTTGCAGTGACAGATCTAAATCTTTTCAACAATTCCTTGTCTGGAGAAATTTTTGAAGCTTAGCCCTATTTCATCCGAAAATTGATAACAATAGCTTAGCTCGCTTAGTCCAATTTCATCCGAAAATTGATAACGATAGCTTAGCTCTATGTCATCCGAAAATTGATAACACGATAGCTTAGCTCTATGTCATCCCAAAATTGATAACGATGTTGGACACGGTTATCCAATGGAATTGACTATTGTTGCTCTTGGAAGTAATCTTTTATCTGGAAAGATGCCCAACAGGGTTATAGAACTTGGCAAACAATAGTCCGTGGGATCTCTACAAGACTGGGAGTCATTGCGTCTTCGTAACAACAGTCTATCCAGAGAAATTCCTTCGTTTCTCCAAAACTGTACAACGAATGTTAACGAGTCTTGACCTCAGTCTGAACAAGTTTGGTGGAAGCATACCGTATTGGCTTCTTGGTGTTAGACTTTCGAATCTCATGGTTCTTGTTGTTTGTTCAAATATCTTCGTTGTTTTGCATGTATTATGGACGAGACTAGTAGATTTCATCTACTATCTCTTTTGGCCCCGAAGTATCTGAATTCAATGTCATACATAATAATATGCTGGACATACATACATATACACATATATAAATATATATATATATATATATATATTGAATGTAATATATACATTGACCGAATGGACTAAAACTGGAAATTTGGAAAATTATCTATGCATAGAATGCAGAAAAAACAGGGGCTGACTACTAGTTTTATTATTATTATTTTTTAATTTTCCAGTTCTATAGTAATTTGTAATTAATGTTCTTTATCTTAGACTTCTATTTATATTATAACGTGTATGGTTTCAGACCTAATAACTTTATAAGGAAGACTTTGAATAACCTGTGATAATACTTCAAACACTATAAACAAAAAAGAAGTTGTAAAAAGAATAATTATTCTTTTCTGCATGAAATTTTTCTTTTCTGCCAATGTAATTTTTCTTTTCTGCATGTGTTGTCGATGGAAAAAGAAGTTTCTAGAATAATTATATTCTTTTTGCTCAGAAATTGTCTTCATTCTTGAACTGTTGAACACATGAACTAAAACCGGACAATATTCATAAACAGGTTAGTTGGTTCTTATTTTTTGGGGGAAAGGAATTTAATTTCCTATTTGTAGGTGGGTCCTATCTTATTTCATTTTCAAATTTCTTAAATAAACACAAATTTAAAACGAGAAATTTAATTTCTTTTCTTGAAATGTGCTAGATTTTAGATGAAAGGGTGGAACACAATCTGTCAATCTCGAGTTGCTTTGTCAATGAATTTCCAAACTTGACTTTTTTATAAACTTATATCTTAGAAATTGTTTAAACACAATCTCTCTTTTTTTTTTTTTCATGGTTGTCGTTTTTAGTTGATTTTGTTTATATGTTATTGTCGTTTCTTTTTTATTTTTGGTGTCTTTCCTTTGTTGTTCTTTTTCAGTTTTTTGTCGTTTCTTATTTTCAAATTGTATCAATTGCGTTGTCGTCTATCCTGTCTTTTATTTGTTATATTGTGGTTTTCGATTTTTTTTTTCCCCAAGCCTGCAATCTAGTAACTTAATTCCCAGCTTACATATCTGCTTGTACTTTTGAAAAACTGTTTTCTGGGGATATACATTTGAATAATCATTCAGTATGAATCTTAACTCTTTTTCCCCTTATTATTATGGATGTATATATTGAATCTTAACAAAAATACATCTTGCGTACACCATTTACACAATATATTCTCAAAATTTTGATCCTTACAAGCCATGAAAAAAAAGGTAAGTTCAAAAGTACTTAAACTGGCAAAGCAATCAAAGATCTTGCACCACATGTGTTCCAGTTCAACAGGCGAAAAACCATAAAGTGTCTCCAGGAACGGTAAAGAAGCTATTTATTAATGACATCCAAAACTTCAATAGCGAATCCTACGACGATGCTCCCCAGTTTTAGTGCATTCCATACGTATAAAAGATGATTGAGCAAATTAATTTAGATGCTTAAGGGCAGAAAAACAGTAGATGAAAACTTCTAACTCATGTCCATAATACAGGCAAAAACGATAAAGACGAGTGAGCAAAGAAACTTACATGCTCTAAGCAATGATATTGGGAAAATTAATTCCTCACCAACATGAGTTTGAATTTGATATAGCAATCTAAAATCTTGTACCACAAGTACTCCTCGAAAAACCAAAAGTAGGCGCGCCTATAGTATCCGTAAAACAACAAGGGAGAAATGACACCCAAGAAGCCCACTGCAAACCCAACTGCTATGCCCAAACGGAACCAATACTCTTCTTCATCTTCGTCGCTTTCTTTTCGTTCATCTTCAGTACCCGCAGGCGTTGTATTCTGATCTACTATGCATATCTCGGGGAGTGGAGGTCCACAGAGTTGGCTGCCAACAAAGCTAGAAGGTCCAAAGCTCTGTAGTTGTGTGCTCAATGGGATTTCACCCAATAATTCGTTGCATGACACGTTGAAGTAGCTCAAGAAATTCAAATTTGATATGCTCGGAGGGATTTTACTTGACAGCTGGTTCCTTGAGATATCAAGGGATAGGATTGATTTCATATCCACAATCCTATCTGGAATGCTACCTCTCAAATGATTTCTTGATAGATTTAATGATATCAATCCGTGGAGACTTGTTAGTTACTTCGGAATCTCTCTGGATAAGTTGTTACTCGAGAGGTCCAGGCTAGTTACTAGTGATAGTATGGTATCATATGTGACGATCCTATTTGAGTTGGCCGTCACTTAAACTAACTTAAGATATAATTGCTGAAACTCCCAAAATTTGAGATATATATATATATATATATATATATATATTAGATGCTACCTAAAATGCTACAGCATTTTTTTTTAAATGTTATATTAAATGCTGTAGTATCTTCCTTAAATGTTGTGGTATATTATCTTTAAAATATGTGGTTATATATTTTATTCAAAAGATGTCTACACCTACTGAGATTTTCAGTTTTGAGTTTACTCCTAGGAGGTGTCAAGGTTTGGAATTGAGGATTTCAAATACTTAAACTATTGTTTCTAAATTTGTTTTAATTGTAAACCACTCTTATTCTCTTATTAGGCATTTGGCTCACTCCTATTTTAAAATTTTCTCCCTCTAGAGTTAGTAGCTTGACTAACAACGTGGCAAGCTAACGCCAAAGGATTGAAGGCTCGAGATACGAGGTGGCTTATTTTAATTAGAAATTTATAGTTTTTAAATTCTTAAGTTGTATTGTATATTTGTATATGATCTGTGTGGGACGGCATTGTCCCTGAGATGTGTAAAGTTTAAATTTGTGGATTGTTTTGATATTATTTGTAAAAGAAAGTCTCCGGAGCAAAATATATTGATATTTATGTAATTATTTTTGTGATTTTTATTAAACAATCCAGTTTAATTAAGTTAGTTTTTTTAATTAAATTTCAATAATTACGGTCCCATCCTTGGGGTCGTGACAGATAGTACATTCAGTTCTATGTTATTACATGGCTATATTGAACATAATTGAGCAAATTAATCCCTCACGCCAATATGCGTTTGAATTTGGTATAGCAATCCAAAATTTTGTACCACAAGTACTCCTGAAAAAACCAAAAGTAAGCACGGCTCCAGAATTCGTAGAAAACCAAGGGAGAAACGACACCCAAGAAGCCAACTGCATACCCAACCGCTATGACCAAACGGAACCAGTACTTTTCTTCATCTCCGCCATCTTCTTCATGTCGTTCTTCATCTTTAGGATCTTCTATACATTTTTTGGGGAGCGGAGGTCCACAGAGTCGGTTGCCAATAAAGCTAGAAGCAGTG